CCGAAGAAGGTATTTAAAATCGAAGGGAGTATACGTACAAGGTTTTCTATAATAATAGCTGCGCATTACTACAATTAAAATTAGTACAAAGTAACATAGAAAATGTTGCTAGTTCAAACAAACGATTAAATCAAATCCGGTACATCATAAATCCATATTATTATTTAAGAGTTAAGGTATTTAAAAACAAGTCAAATATCCTTTTTTCTATGTAGAAAAAAGCTATGATAAATTTAATCTGTAATTTAGTTTTTTTAGGATCCCCATTTTAATTCTTTCTTATAAAAAAATTTCATTTATGAAGTGGGATACTGTAAATAATAAAATTATCAAATATTCCAACTCTATTACCTTATACTATCTAGTAATTTTAATACTTATAGGTTTCTTTAAAATATTTGTAATAATAATAATAATAATAATAATAATAATAATAATAATAATAATAAAAATAATAATAATAATAGTAATAATAATAATAATAATAGTAATACTAATCATAACAATAATAATTAAACATTAATATTGATTAATATAAAAAGTAGAATATTGAAATAATTAAAATGAGTTCAAATTAGATAAAATAAGTTCAGATTAGATCAGATCAGAAAAAATAAGTTCGGATAAAAAAAAATAAGTTCAGATCAGATCAAATCAGAAAATATAAGTTCAGATCAGAAAAAATAAGTTTAGATCAGATCAGATTAGAAAATATAAGTTCAGATCAGATCAGAAAATATCAGTTCAAATCAGATCAGCTTAAATCAGGTGAACTAAACAAGGCCTAAATCAACCATTAAAAAACTAGAAATTCCACTAGGAACCTCCTCCATCCAAATTCCAAACTCTCAGATCAACAAAAGAAGAGCTAAGTTTTGCCAGTTTATGAGCTACACAATTACCACTACGCTTCACAAAGGAAAAAGAGCATGAGTGGCAGCCACGGGCAAGATGAATGATATCGTTGATAACTATACCAAAGACTATAGGGGGGCATTACCTTTCGACAAACCGAGTTATTAGATTTTTCAAGTTTGAAATTTTCTTAAGTATATTTTATTAGTGGATCGGATATAAAAGTTTGGGTTATGCATTGAATTTATCTGCGTTAGATATGAATTGAGTTAAGCTTGATACACATGTCATGTTTTAAACATTTGTATGTAGATATTTAATTATGCAAAGTGTTATTCTAAGATAAATAAAATATTAAAATCCCTTCTTTTATATATTTTTTTTGGGGTGCTTCTCAGAGCCACAAAGGCGGGTGATAAGAATTGATCCCAAAATCTCCTGAAATCGGAAGGGAAACTCTAACCACTTGAGTTATATCTCACTCTCATCTTCATATTTATTTATACTTAATAAATTTGCCGAGACTAAAGGATAGCTCAAATGGTTAAAGTTTTCTTCCCTATTCTAGGTAATCCTAATATTGATTGTTATCACTTGTCCTTATTCTTGTGGCTCTCTAAAAAAACTAATTTTGTTTTTTTTTAAAAAGCCTTAATAAGAAATTTGCTTTTTCAAATTTTGAGTATTATAATTATTACTAGTACTCCGTATTAATTTTTTATAGCCAGGAAGTAGTCCAATTTTGATGGCCCCTTAGCTTTTTCAATACCAAAACCATCAAATCAATTAATAAACTCCTAACTGTTTTCATTCACAAAATAGAGGCCTTCCAAAGGGAGGTTAGTTATGTATGATTAAATGCATAACGAGGGGCATGAGTGTCATTTCACGTAAATGCATTTATGAATTTAGAGTAGTACCATTGGGTGATCAATTGTATCACTAGATGATTAAATGGTATCATTGAACATTTCAGTGGTACTATTTATGTATGTAGTGGTACTATATATTCATTCAGTGGTACTCACTACGTGTAGAAATAATATCACTACGGTAAAAATAGTATCACTACATAGTCAATGGTACTATTTAAGCTTTTAACGATACATTTAAAAAGTGACCCCACTTACCCATCTCTCTCCTCCTTTCTCTCACCCCCATGTACTTTTTAATATTTTAATATTTATTATGCATTTGCAAATGTATAACTAACCTCCCTCACTACTTCCTTCACAAAATATAGGTAGCAACTGCTATAAGTCATTAAGCATTTGCCAAGTGTCAACTGCTATTAACGCAATTTTGACTCCGATTCCGTATCTTTTTTATGGCGGTAGACAACCCGTTTTTGTTTTGGCAACGAAAGCTGAATTCAAGAGTCCAAGGACATCTTATGATCTTTAATGGTGTACTTATTTCATAGTTTTGTTTCGCCAAAATTACTCGTTAAGTTAAAAAAATGTCTACATAAATCATCATACCAAATAAGTTTGATTTACTTGATAAGGTAAGACTTTTATTAAATAAAGATACTTGAAGATAGGGATCCTTTTATCAAAATTTTTCCTACCATAAGGATATTGCTCACTTTAAATTTTATAAAGCTATCAATAAAATATATAAAGTTGGTCATTCCTTTTATTTAGCTATACATACCTATTATTTAGCTGTATATAATGTATAATTTAATTTATTTTGTTAAATTCATCTCAGCGTGAGTTCAAATTATCATAATAACTTTTTACAATTTATCTTATTGAAATATACACTTTCTAATCAACACATGTAAATGTTTCATATCGATGAAAGATAGGAGTAGGCTAAGGGGCTACTCTGCTTAGTGGTAAATGGTTTTGGAGCAGAATTTTTTTAAACTTGTGAAGTAAACTCTCTCTTAATAACGGGTGCTGTATAGGCCCAATAAGATTTGACACTTTTGTGCTTTAAAGAGTAAGTGAGAGTGCCATTGTTGAGTGCCCTAGTGATCGCAAGTGGCCATAGATAGATAGATACATTGTTTAGGAACAAATTCATGTTTATAACAATTTCTCAAGTGGCAATTTGTGTAAATAAGTTGCCTTGGAAAACGAAAAAAACAATTTAAAAATTGCTATTGGACACCTGGCTAGTAACTTGGGTTAACCATGGTTAAGAGCTAAACCAAGTCTGTTGAAGGCTCTGTATCATGTATCATGTTTTCATCTGTTGAAGCCTTGAAGGCTCTGCGCTGCTGCTATTATCGCCGGTTGGAGCTATTGTTATTCGGCGATCGGAGCCTTAACGGTGGTTTAAAATCTTTAATTTTATCGTCGAACAAGTAAGCGTCGAGCACCGTCCTCTATGGTGAACTCGCAACTCAATTTCAGATTACGAAACTCCAAAAAAGCAACTATGAAATCCGACCACCACACCATTATTATGACCATTGTTGAGCAGTTTAGTTTTAATGGAGGACATGGTCACCCTTACCCTTTGGGGTTGACCATGCCCTTAATTTCACCCTTTATTCTAGGGTTTTGGATGGGGTCGTCTTTAGTGGTCTTCAATGGTGTTGCCTTCGATATGAGCTTCAATGGAGGAGGAAGGAGGAGCAAGGAGCAAGGAGGAGGAAGAAGAAGATTGATACGGTGTGACCGTGTGAGTGATTGAAGTTAACTAGAGTTCATAAAGTTAACTCAAGTAAAAAAGCAAGTTACATATTTATCCTTCAATAACTAGTTGAGATTACTTAATTACCCTATTGTTTCTCAATGTAAGCAATTGGAGCTCCCTCATTGTTTAGTACTCCCTTCGTTTCATAATTAGAAGTTTATCTTCTATTTTTCACGGGAATTAAGGAAGTTGGTTGAGAGTACAAATATGCATGTGGTTAGAGAGAGATAGAAAGAAAGAAAAAGTGGTTGAGAATTATTGGAGAGATAGAAAGAAAAAGTGTTGAGAATTAATGCCAAAAGTACAAAAAAGAAAAGAAAAAGGATGACAAATTATTAAAAAAGAGGGTATTATTGTCAAAAAGTACTTTCTATAAATAGAATTAGGCTTCTAATTTTAAATACCCAAAAAGAAAAATAGGCTTTTAATTATAAAACGGAGATAGTATTATAATTGAACTAGCAAGCCTAAAGTAAAGTACAGAGTACATTATTAGTAGAAAATAAATGACCCCACTAATGCAGGCAAGCATTGGATTTAGTAGATAAACTGTTTGGCCTGTTCCGTAGCCTGTCATATAGTGGCAAATAAAAGATCTTGTGATTATTCTCTTGATTTGCCTGTGTTTGAGTGTATCATTTGTCCCCTTGTAGACTTTATTAAAACCATGGCCAGTCCCCATATTAGCCTATATCCCTCTATGGCCCTATCCAAAAAAGGCATATTGGGCAGTATTTTATTTAATTCTAAGGGCTGGTTTGATTAAATGTAAGAATTTTAAATTCCTTAAAAATTTAATTTCTTATGTAGTTGGATTTTTTAGGAAATTATAAAAATTGTTTAATTAATTATAGGTAGTGGAAATTTCCATAGAAAGTTCTACTTACTAAAATCTCTCTAGATAATTAGGTTCCTCTATTTTGTGGAAAGTGGAAATTCTTAGAAATTTTGAATTGGTCGACCAAACACCACAAAATTAAAATTTTTCAATTTCTAAGAATTTCAACTTCCCATGTTTTTCTCCATGATAACCATCAACCAAATGACTCGTAAATAGAGTAAAAGAAAGAGAAATAGTAAGCCAAAGTAGAATAGAATTAACAATCTAAATTGGAATAAAGATATTCCTAACAAGGTTTTGTGTTTAAGCATTTAGATAATACGTAGTAAGGAATAATGTTAAGTCCTTTAGAGAAGACTATTCTAACAACCAAAAGTTTTGAGCATGTGGCCAATTTTGGGCGCCATTGATCAGTCCTTAATGTCAAAACTTTTAAAGGTAAAACTTAAAGAGGTAGGATTATACCATTGTTCTAAGTGCAAAATTTTTTAGGAGATTATTGCAAATCAAACTAACTGAAGAGAGATTATATTTAATTATGTCAATTAGTCCATGATATTACAACAAGATTGTTACAACTTACAATCAACTTACAAATTAACCAATCATATAGAAATACAAATCAATATTTAGAAATTTTACCGATCAATAATAAAATTTTGATGGTTATTAATCATCAAAGAGAGAGATCTAAATTGAGATCAGGCAGCTCTAAAACTTCCTGCTGATCATCAACCTGCTGCTTGTCGTCTGCACCATCTTCAGCCTCAACTTGGTTGTTAATTATCTCTTGCGCAGAAACATAAGTGTACTGTGCTCCCTCGTCTAGACAATAACTTCCGGGCCAATATTCATAACTCAAAGGATGACTGTTAGAAAAGGCGGTACCGGAAAATACAGGTTGACCACCAATGATCTGCTGCTGCACCTGCAACACAAGACCATGGGGCCGAACAAAGGAGTACGGCATCAACGGCGGCATCGCGAGACTTGTCATCATCATCGTCTCTTGTTTCCGATGCTTGGCGTCTCGTCTCTCCTTTTTATGAGCATTTTGATGGCCGCCTAAGGCTTGTGAGTTCAGAAATCTTCTACCACAATATTTGCAAAAACATATCTTAAAATTACGTGATTTTGGCCTAGGAGAGTTGTTACATTTTTCTCCTTCCATTTTTATTTCTCACTTTAATATAACTATATAAATAAGCTAAGCTATTATATAATATGCAATGCATCAAATATTATCATGCACTGCGTACGTATAAATAAGCTGAAAATATTCCTGTAGCTGAAATAACTATGTATACGTCATGAAACTCAACCAATCATGCACTTGTAAATTGTGATTGTGATATAATCGATCTACGGATTATATACTCAGTAACTATATGAATGGAATTTATATTAATTAATTACGAGTAAAAATATGTGGCTTGCCTTAAAGACATTAGCCGTACTAATAGTTATACTTGTAAGTAAGGATGAATTGAATAAGACAAATGAAAGTTGCATATATGAGAGTTATTGAGAGATAGGAAAAAAAAACATAGTGCTAAATTTTAAATGTTGTTTGGTATTTGTATGATTGTATCCAACATATGTATGTAAACACTAAATTTGTTATAAATGCTCTAGTTAAAGTTTTAGGGAACTTTTCCATGTGATCGAGATTTCATAAACAAAATACTTTTATATTGATACGATGTGTATGATGTATGTTTTGTCCCTTAAAGTTTGATATATACATTTGCCATATATTTGAATGTCTTTTGAACTTTTAAGGAACCAAATGCATATTTGTTTTCAAGTGTTTTCGATCTCTTCATCTTACTATATAATAATGCTGGATAGGTGGCTCAGATCTTGTACACATTGCATGAACACATACACCAATTTAAGTGAAGATGTGAAGTGCAATGACAAGGGGAAAAGGAAAAGTACTGCGTTGGAAAATTTAAAAAGGATTGGTAGATTTTGATAGCTTTATTTATTAGGAGTGAAGAGTGATAGCTTGTGTTTGGAACATCTGCAAATTGATTTATCTAAAATAGGACTTTGCCTTTTTGGTGTGTGCGGGGTTTGGGGGCTTAAATCCGCTGAATTGAAACCAGCAAGCTGAAATAATTCCTTAACTAAGACGACTAAGACCTATGTTTAAGCTTAGGGCATAATTAAAGTTGTATGAGAGTAATTAAGAAATAGACAGGAAAAAGGAACATTGTGCTAAATTTAAATGTTGTTTGGTATTTCCATATTTGTGTCTAACATATATTCATAAACACTAAATTTGTTATAAATGTTTGAATTAAAGTTGAGATCTTTTACTCAAAAGAAGAAGAAAAAAAAAATAAAAAATAAAAAAAGGTTTTAGGGATCTTTTTCATGTGATCGAGATTTCTATAAGAAAATACTTTACATTGACACGACGTGTATGATGTATGTTTTGTCCTTTAATATTTATGCATACATTTGCTATTTGCATTTAATGTCTTTTAAACTTAAAATTCGTACATTTATTTTCAAGTGTGTGTTTCTCTTTATTTTTCATTTGATCTTATATTGTTGGATGGATGGCTCAAGGCTCGTACACATTGCATGAACAAATCCAGCTATTTATGTTAAGATGTGAAGTGCAATGACAAGGGGAAAAGGAAAAGTGTTAGGATTGGTAGATTTTGATAGCTTTAATTTATGTGCTTGGAACATCTGCAAATTAAACCTTGCTCTGATTCATCTAATTATTCTAACGTAGTAATTTTCCTTTAAGGTCGTTTAAAAAAAATAAAAAAATAAAAAAAATTAGGCGTGTCTTTTTCGGATGATCTACGAACTTACGAAGGCCCTACCACCTAAGGTTCATACCCAACAAGGCCACAAGGAGTACATATAATCTTGAGTCTTAATTAAATGCTAATTGTGGGCCACTGGGCCCTACAGCCAAAGCTAGGCCCAACGGTAAAGCAGACGCTGCATACCCAACAAAAACAGAAACAAACAAACCAGTGCCAACTTGGCACACACACTCTACTTACTCCCCCTCCCACACTTTTTTTTTTATTTTTATTTTTTTTAAAAAAATAATTTGGGGACCTCTCGACTCTCGAGAGTACGGGCCCTATGGGATCACAAACCTTCATATGGTACCCGTCTTTAATTAAAAGTCTCATTTCACTTAAATGTTTAATCACAAAATAAAATTTATTTTTGATGAATTTATTATTTGCTCACTTTTAATTAATTAAAATCCACATTTTTCGTCTTATGTTTACTTGTTATTTTATAAAGTTCAATAAAGCGCTACGGATTATTTTTGAAAATGAAAAGGTGTTGGGTGCGGAGTGCCACACGAAAATTTGCGTGCAGCAGGCTTGACTGATATATTTCACTTGTTGGCTGATATGTTTCATTTGTTGACTGATATGGTTTTTGTGTTGGCTAATATATTCCTTTTGTTGGTTGATATGTATATATATATATATATATATATATATATATATATATATATATATATATATATATATTTTAATATTTGATATGTTCCTTTTGTTGGCTGATATGTTTCTTTAGTTGGCTAATATCTTTATTTTGTTGGCTGATATGTATATTTTAATTGTTGGCTTATATGTTTCATTTTATTGGCTGATATGTTTACTTTGTTGGCTTACCTGTTGCTTTTGTTTGCTGATTTCATCTTTTTGTTGGCTGATATGTTCCTTCTGTTGGTTGATATGTATCTTTTGTTGAATGATATATATGTTCCTTTTGTTGGCTGATATGTTTCATTTGTTGCTAATATGTTCCTTGTGTTGATTGATACGTTTTTATTAATGTTTGATATGTCCTTAATGTTAACTAATATCAGACATCAATTGGCTGATATGTTCATTTTAATGGCCAATATGTGTCATTAGTTTTATTTTACTTCATTTTCTCCTCACCACTCACGTAGGACTCCCCTGTTCCCCCATTTCACCAACACCAACCCAACAATAACAACAACCGCACAAACCACCGGCTACTCCTCAAATGCCCAACCAACAACAGCACCACCACTACTCAGCCACGCAGCCAACAGGGCAGCAGCTAGGACGTGTAACGTTTGCACCTTCCAGCCACCACCTCTCCCCTAAATACCATACTTGCTACGAGCACCCTGCCCAGCCACACCGCAACTCTTGTTGGAGCCCAGTTGCAGCCACGGCCAACTGCGCAGCCAGGCGGAGTGCCCAACCATGCAAACTAGCAGCGAACTCCACCGTACCAGCCGCTGCTTCACATCTAGGGTTTCAATCGCAAATCGCCGCACCTTTCTAACCACCACCAGCACCGATGTCCACCGCACCAGCCGCTGCTTCACATCTAGGGTTTCAATCGCAAATCCACCATTATTGCCTCCATTTTTAGATCGTTGTCATTATTGTTGTCATCCACCATTGCTGTCTTCATCCACCATTGTTGTCGTCGTTGTCATCTTCATCGTCGTCTTCGTCATCCCTTCACCGCACGAAACATATTGGGTGCAGAACGCACTCAATAGTTTGTGTTTTGAAAATATACTATTCACTATTTGCTAAAAATACCAAACTCTATTGTCTTAACGGTTTTGAAGCTCAAAACATTGTTTAATAGAGAATATAATACTAAAAAATTCAAAAGTTTGTAGATGAATGTCGATTACAATGATAAGTAGTTAAGTCTTGGGAGTCAACAGGTGTGATCAAATATCTACAAAGTATAATTTATCTATATATATTTTATTGTTAAATTGTTAATATTGGTGAATATTTCTAAATTTAATTATGACATTGTAAGAAAAGTTTAAGATAAGATGATGTTGAGCAAGTCCTCTCATGCAAATATTAATTACTCCTATATTTTACTCTATATGTTTATTACTTTACCGGTCCATTTGGTTACTATTTAAACAATGATAATGAGAATGAATTTACATGTAAATTTGAAAAGGAAACCAATATTTGTTTCCATGATCACTCAAGAGGACTCTCAAATTGTCTATTTTCCTTTATAAATTTTCATTATCACCAAATGCTACCTCCCAAGTGGATAATTGATGGACATATGGTAATAGAAAAATATAGGGGAAAAAAAAAACTCAAGCTTAGGGGATGAGAATGTGTTTTAATTCATGAGGATTATAAGTTGTTTTTCGTAGTACATTACACTTAAAATTCATTTTCATCACTGCAATATACTCCCTCTGTTAATTTTTATTTGCAACTTTTGCCATTTTAGTCCGCTAACTATTATGTGCAACTTTCTATTTTCTTTCTATTTTTAGTAAACAAAAACCCTGAAAATTACAAATTTACCCTTACTTAAAAATTCAGATTTTCTTAATTTTACCCTTTATCTTATTTTAATCACAATAACTTTTTAATCTAATCTAAAATTATTAATCTAATTCTACCCCATTTAATCATCTCCTAGTCTACCCACCACCCATTCATCTCTTTCTTCAACCTCTCTTCATCTCCTTCACCCTGTTCATCTCTTTCACCTTCAGCCTCTTCATCCCTCCTCCCTCACGAGTCACGACCACCGCCCCTCACACCACCATTCTTTCTCCTATTACAGTAAGCTAGTCTCCCCTCACACCACCGCCCCTCACACCGCCATTAACCCACTCTCTTTCCTCTCAAATTTCTCTGTAAAACTAACCCATAAAAATAGGGTGTACAGCTTCAAAGCTCGACAACGAAGCTATTGTATTTCTATTGTTAATTTTCCGTTTTATTGTTAATTTTTATTGTTGATTATTGTAGATCTACAATTTTGTATTTTTATTTCGATTTTTTTGGGTGATTTATCTTCGAATTTCTGGGTTTTTTTTGGATTTTGTTCGATTTTTTTGGGTAAGGGTTAGTGTGGTGAGTTGGTTACGGTGGGGTGAGTGGGTGGGTGGAGCTGCCGAATTTTTGGGTGGTCTGGGTTAGAGGTGGGTCTAGGGCGTGGGTTTTGGGTTTTATTGAAGGTGGTTGCTGTGATGGTTTCGTGGGGGTTGGTTGCGGACTGGTTTCGTGGACTGCAAGTTCGGACTGGTTTCGTGGGGTTGGTTGCGGTGGTGGTTTCGTGGGGGTGGTAGTGGTGTTGGTGGAGGCAGCGGCGGTGTTGGTGGAGGCGGCGGTGATGTTGGCTGGTCTTGGTGGTGGCAGTGGGTGGTTGATTTTCTTAAACATTCTCTTTCCACCTTAATTACATCTTTAATATATTAATCACCATTATACTTCCTCTAATATTTGCCCCTTAACTTTTGCCTCGTAAACCGTTATTTGCCCCAAAGTTGCAAATAAAAATTAACGGAGGGAGTATTACAAAATATGACCAAATGGATCATAACAGTATGTTTAAATAATTCACAAAATTTGAAACTAATAGCAATTGCAGGCTTAGTATGTTGTTTTTAATCTCTAATTACATTAATTTTGCTTTTTCATATATTTACTTTCCTTAGTTAATTCATATGAAGGCATATAATTTTTTGATTGATGTTCATCCATCACCCATGTGACAAAATGTGTCCTTACCCATATGTGAAAATAAGTTGAATAGACCTTTAGTAATTAGTATACTTTAGAGTGTCCAAATGCTTTTGAAATAATTGCGAAAATGAAAAAGAATAACCTTTAATTTTATTTGTTTATTTTTTCTTCCTTTTAATTTTTTTTTTATTTTTTTTATTTTATTATTTACTTTTTTAAGTATACCTTTTTTCTTTATGGGTGGCTACCAGAAATGTCAAAAACCATCTAATCTTGTACAAATAGAAAGTCAGAATCAGTGTATTGAATTGAGCCAACTCTTTCATTCGAACAAAAGAATATTTACAAAGACACAAAACACGACCCTACAACTCTACAAGGCTACAATGCAAAATATTAGTGATACTAGTCCCATAAATTTTTTTTTTAAAATAAAAAGCAAATATGAGCCAATAGACACTTGCCACGTGTCAGTGTTTTTTGGACATGAAATCTTGTCCGTATTTGAATTATTACATCTATATTATATGGATGAAGGATGATTATTATATTCCGGTGTATGCCATATATCTCAATTGCCAATAACTTTTTTTTTTTTTTAAATCTCCATACATTTTTCTCTCTTATTATTGCACATTTTCTACAATATCTTTTGGATACGTTTATAAGAAAGTACATATGTAGCCGCCAATGTAGGTATTATCAATTAAGAGTGAATACTCTCATACTTTATTTAGAAGAATATACTCCTCCCGAGGCCCCCGTCCTTAAATATAGTTTTTATTTTCATTTTGGATGATCTTAAATATAGTTTCCATTTTCTTTTTTATCATTTAATATTCTATGAAAATCACCCATTTTCCTCCCATTTTTTAATTCTCGTGTTATTTTCCAAACAGAAATGTTATTTAGGAACGGAGAAAATATATAAAGAGAGATAAAACTTTTAGGAGCACTATAACATCAACTACTACTTTTACCTAGAAAGTGAAAAATATTTTTTAAAAAGGATTTTTTTAACTATTACCAAAAAAAAAAAAAAAAAATCTAAAAATTGTTTTTTTACCACCTACCGTTAAAAAAAGTTAAATCTAACAGTGTTAAAAAAATTCTAAAAATTGTTTTTTACCACCTACCGCTAAAAAGCGTTAAATCTAACAGTGTTAAAAAAATTCTTCGATTTTCGTGCGCAAAACATGTTCTTTATAGGGAGATATATTGTTCCTTTGATCCATATAAGGTCAGAACTGACAAAAAATAAAAATACCTCGTTTTGCGTATTCCCCGCAAACCGAGGTATTTTTTAATAAGAAAAACTAGCCATTTACAAACATTTATTTTCAATTCTGACTTCAAATTGGATCAAAGAAACAAAATGCCCTCCAAAAACCCCAAAGAGCATATTTTTGACACAAAAATATAAGAATTTAATAAATTCCGTTAGGTTTACTGGACTTTTTTACGGCGCGTGGTAAAAAACAATTTTTTTTTTTTTTTTTTTTTTTTTTTTTTGTGGTAAAATAAAAGTTTTTAAAGTTTTGGCGTTAAAAAACTAATTTATGTGTTAGAGTACTTTCTTTTCTTAGGAGCTTGGCCGTCTCTTTCACCAAAAAGCAAGAAAAAAGAAAGAAAGAGGAAATTAGGAATTTGTTAAAATTATGGGCAATAAAAACAAATCAATTTTGGCTAATATTTGCAGAGCATGGGCCTGCTCTACTACAAATCTAAATAGGATTAGAAAGATTCTTTACCAGTTTTAGTAAGCTCCCACTATCACTTTCTCCACCCCTCGGCGCTTCTAAAGAGTCTTAGTCTTACTTTTTTAAGCAGCATGTCCTTCTATATTGTGTACGTTTCTGCCTTCGTATACGGGTACAAAGAAAATCCACAACTTTTTTCTTCTAGGGTGTAATCCCTTCGCCTAACCCTATATGAACTTGATTTATGTAGTAGTAGTAGAGTTGATTTTACCTAATTTTCACCTTATATTTAAATTTGGCTAAAGCTAAATTAAGATTAAACTTATACTTTTTTGAATAAGGTGTATACAACGCATCCTTAGAAAAGATTGAGAGACTAATCTACCATGAATAATCCCGAGAGCTAAAACTTCAATCACTAGTCCTTACAATAAGTTCATCATATATTATGCTGTTGTCCGTTTGTGCGTTGACGGACATGAAAGTTCAATTGTTATAGATCCTTACAATTATTTAAGGACCAATAAAGTACTAAATAAGAACCACTTTATTTAAAAGAATTTTCTTCATTAATCATTTTTTTAAACCTATACTATATTACTATCATCTACATGTCTCTAAGGAGTCTAAGCTAAAAGTTGTACAAAATACTATCTTAATAAACGAGTGTAATTTTAAAAATGACGCATAAATTGGGTGCAAGTATAGCATAGTAATAATATGCAGAGAGTGAGGGATAGATCAAGTGGTTAGAGCTTCCTTTCCAATTTTAGGAGATCTTGGGATTGATTCTCATTACCTGCCCTTGTGTGGCTCTAAACACCAAAAAAAATAAAAATATTATGCATGTATTTCTTATCTCATATACCTTTGAGGTCGGGAAGAACTTATACTTGTAATAATGGTGAAGATAATTATATGTATTAATAAAGTATCCTAACTAGAACATTCGCCAAGTCGATAAAACTGTAGTAATGCAAAATTGTAAAGAGTGCGTGGGTGGGATCCTCCAAGTTAATAATTGCGGGTGAGGTTGAAGTCAATAATGTTGGATGCTCTTCTTATGGGGGGCGAATGGATGATGGGGTTGGCCTCTATATTATTATATTGTGACTTGTGACCTAAGGGATCTAATTAAATTACCTTGTGGTTTTGTCGGCAGTCTTTCAGGTGTTGGGTGTATCGCCGCGTTGTCGGTGGTGGAAGCCGGTGATGAGGCTATGTTGGGAAACTTGGGTTGTTCAGTTTACACATTGGCCTTATGATCAGAGTGGCATTTTCACCATCTAAGTTGATAGATGCCAAATACGGGGTCTTATGATTAGAGTGGCATTTTCACCAAACTTCGTTAGTTGTTTGGGAGGAGTAAATTAAATGATTCATGTAAATGCTATTATAAATGAAAAAAACATAGATAAGTTAAACACAAGTTTTTCTACCAATGCAAACTTGAAAAACTATAATATTTTCTACTGCATAAAGTGTTTGAAATATGCTTTAGAATAAGAATCATATACGTAGTATTAATCATAACTTATATGACAATTTAGATAAATTTAAGGAGATTATGAAGAAGAATGAAAATGACATTACATACAATGTTATACTTCGTATAAATTACTTTCAATTCTCCATTAAAGCTATATAGCTAGCTAGTTCGGTAATGAAACAAAGGTACAATATATATATTTGTCACCATACCCACAAACTTTAGTACTCGTATAAGTCGACTCATGTATATCCTTAACTGCTATACGTCTTGTATATGCTTAATTATAACCTAATGATTTATATGGCTGCTTAGAGCTAAGGAGCGAGAATTATAGAACTAAGGGAGGCGAAGTTTTATTAAGGGGAGTACATTGTATGTTTTTCAAGTTGTAACAAAGTAGTTTTATTACTGCGTATATCATAAACATAGTAACATTATAAACTTTTATATCTCAACTATATATACGAAGAAAAATATATATGAAATCGCTCACTACCCTAATTTATCTAAATTAAACCTAAAACATATTCTCATGAATAAAGCTTCCTTTATTTCAAGTAGCCCCATCAAAAAAAAAAAGTTAGCTTTCACTCATGAATGAGAATATGAGATCTTTCCCTATATAATGTTACATAAAGTCCAGGTGTTATACTTCGTATGTTGCAACTACATACAGATCAGATTCAAATCAATAATTAATTATGAGCATGATGTTTTAAGTCGGCAATTAGATTAAAGACCAATACTAATCATTATTCTAATTTCATCCTTATTATATATTACTTGTATTTTATACATAAAATAACAAACTCCCTTTTATACACCAATCTAGCTAGTAGTGTTATTAGATTTTTATCTCACTAATGATTAGCTTAATTTGACCTAGCAAAGAGAATATATATATAGAATGCTGTTATTGTTATGAATTTGGTGAATTTAGACTTAATTATGGAAGGTTTAAACGATCATGAGAGCTTCTATACTACTAGTAGTAAAGAAGGTCTTAGTTTCAAGATATATTTATGCAAATACTGTGGGAGGGATTTTCTGAACCCACAAGCGTTAGGGGGGCATCAAAATGCTCATAGGATCGAAAGACGAGAAGTGAGGCTTCATAAGCAAGCTAAGGTTTTTAGCTTGATGATGGCCAATTTTGGACTGTCTATGATGCCTTACCACTTCATTCAGCCCCATGGTGTCGAGCTGAACCAGAACTCAGTCGCGGAAGGTAGCAGCTTTATCAGTAGCCCTTCTCATAGTCACTGGCTAGGGAGTTATCGCCTAGGTGATGGAGCACAGAATTGTAATGATCCTGCCTCAATTATCACTAAACATGTTATGAATAAGGCCAGAGTAGAAGATGGTGGTGCAGATCAAGAGCTGCTGGTTGAGGATGGAGGAGCACCTGCTCAACCCGGATTGCGGTTAGAGCTGCCTGACCTCAACTTAGACTATGCGCCTATTTGAAACTAACATATCATCTTTATTCATGCAATTGTTTATGCATCGTCTACAACTATTAATTAACTAGCTAGGCTGTTAGAAAAGTAAAGTCTAATGTCTTATTATGCAATGCAGGAATTGAATTGTATGTTATTTTCAAAAGAACCAGTTGTTGATTTGTTGGTGATATCATGTATGTGCTTAAATTATAAAACCTCTACTCTTGGAAGCCATCTACATACTCATCTTCTCAAATTTTTTTTGGAGACATCTCATTTAGTTGCATACCTCTCAATCTCTTATCAATAAGGCCAATGTATGGTCAGGATGTGCATAATATGAAGGGGAAAAGGGTTGTCCTTCAACCTCCTGTTTTATTAATAACATACGGAATCTAATTAAAGATAACACTGACCTAGGTAAGTGAAGGTTATATATTCACTTGGATTGATTATTTCATCAAACCTAATTTGTTAACAGCTACTTCTATATATATATTCATTCTACTCTAGCATAAATCATAACGAGTTTGGTGATAATTTGTAGGATGTAGTAGATTCTTCTTCGTTCATTTTAACCTCGATCGATTCAGTAGACTTCGATGGGTTGTATGCAAAGAATAAGATCACATAATGTTATTGAACAATAAGAACAAAATTCAAGGTAAGACTTCTATTATTCTTTCATACGACATAATATAACCCTCGTACAATTTATGATGGACTTAGTTCATTCCTCGTATAACTGCCCATCAAAGTATAAAATGTAATTCCTAGCAAGTAGCAAGCTTATACTTTGAGCCCCAATTAACGATAATTACGACACTACAGCTCGAATAAATAACAATTGCAAACCCACCAACATTAAAATTAAATTAAAAAGAAGACATTACATAATACAGAATCACCTCAGATATGTGGATGTCCTATCGTCTTAAGCAGGAAGAGATTTTCTCCCCATGAACTACAATTCTCTCTCCTTACATTCTAGAATCCCGCTATACAGGGTAAGGGTGAGCAAAAAAATAAGGGTACCCTGAATCGGAATCAGAACCTGTTAAAAACCGTAGGTTTCGGATGGAACTGGAACCTATAGGTTACCCTGTAACCTGTTAAAAATATCACTTAATTTTAAATTATACACCAATTCTAACTTATTTTTAAATATTAATTATCAAAATCACAATTATAAATATACGTATTAAATTTGTTAGACAACTACTATTACTTTGTTTATTTTGCAAGTTGTAAATAATATAAATTAGTGACCAACCAATTTTAAAAATCTACAAAAAAATAGTACGTATATTACAAGACAGGGAATTTCCAGGAACCTATTCAACAGGTTTCGATTATGATTCCCATTTTAAGGAACCTGTTGCAACAGGTTTCGATTCCAAGAATTTTTACAGGATATCCTATTATGCTCACCCCTAATACAATAGAGAGTTAAAGAAACATGGGAAATTATCAATGATACCCCCCAGGTTCGGGCTTTTTTCAATGATACACCTCATTAAACTTTCATTATCACCGGTACACCTAAATTTTTCCCTAAATACCTACCGTACCCTTTCTGTTAAAAAAACGTTAGTTTTGGCTTTTTTCATTTTTTTTAACTTAAAAAAATTAATTAACTATTTTTAACTTATTTCTAAAAAAAAAAAACCTTCTTTCTCCCTCATCTGATCTCCCTCCATGGCCTTCCTCCAACCCCTTCCACCAACTAGGCCAACAACACTGTGGCGCCACCCCCACCACCACCACCACAAACCTCAAAACCCCCACAACTTGACAACCAACCTATAACTCAACCCCCCAACCACGACCCTACCTCGAATCCACTTCAGCCACCACCGTTGAAAAACCACCACCGCCACACCAATTCAGCCACCACCACCCAAACCCAAACCTAAACCCTAGAACCACCATCCCACCAGACTGAAACCACCAGTCAACCCAACCCCAAAACCCCATAAACCCAAACCCAGCCAACCTCAAAACCATTTGAAAACCCACCAAACCGAACCCGACATTGGGTTCGACGCGAAATCGGGGCAGGGAGTTCGACGCGGCTAAAATCGGAGGATGGGGGAGGTCAGCGACGCCGGAATTGGGGGATGGGGTTGGTCAGCAAGGTCGAAATTTAGGGGGGGGGTTTGGATTAATGGGGGAGGTTAGTTCTTATTTCTCTCTGGAATAATCATCCAAATCTTCCATTTTTTTTTCTCACTTTCTCTCTCTAATTGATGTTGACGGTGGTTGGAGATGGTGGTAGCGGTTGCAAAGGGGCATTGCAAAGCTAGAGGCGCTGCTCTGGGCAGTGACGGTGCTGTAATTAATTGAGGTTGATGTAGGGGATGCGTGGCTGTTGCTGTTGTAGTTGTTGCGATGGTGATTGGAGGTGGTCTAGGTATGGGAATGCGTGGGAGTTGGAGCTGGTGATGCGGTGAGGTGGCGAGCTGCTGGTTGTGTTTGGTGGATGGTGATTGAAATGGTGGTGGCGATGTGGGGGCGTGAAGTGGTGATGCGTGTGTAATTGAGAGGAGCAGGGAGGTATAATGGTGTGAATGGTGGAACAGGGGATTAGCAGGGAAGCTGAGTTTCGTTGGTTTCGACCATAATTAACGTTTAGTTAACGTTAAGGTTACTTTAAGTATTTAGGGAAAAGTTTAGGTGTACTGGTGATAATGAAAGTTTAATGTAGTGTATCATTGAGAAAAGCCCGAACCTGCGGGGGTATCATTGATAATTTCCCAAGAAACATTAACTTCCGTCAAAGACCAATATCTAACGGTGTAAACATTGTAAAGTTTGTCCACCTCAGCATATAAAGAACTAACTCCAAGGCAATTTATTACAACAATGCCACTATATTAACAACATTCGTTAATATTGGGTATTAATGGGACCGGCTCATGAAGAACAGAAGATAGAGCGTTGCGCTGCAGATTGCCTATTTCTCTTTTTTATTGCTGGCAAAGTTTCGTTTCGATGGTCAATTGAAATACAGATTGGAAATTAGGAATAGCCCAACTATAAAAGAGTTTGGACCAACTTCGAACACCCCAATGGCCTTTTATATACCCCGTTATTATTATTATTATTATTATTATTATTATTATTATTATTATTATTATTATTATTATTATTATTATTATTATTTAAAGGTAAAATACATAGAAAAATTTAGAACGTCTTCTCACAAGACCGTGTCTTAATTTATCAAGGTGTAAAAAAAATAAGAAAACTTGTTGCCCATATACTTCATGCTTATTATTTTTTTACTTCGTCAAAACACAATCGTACTTCATAATCTCAAAGTATGGTTTTCAAATTATCAAAAAAAATAATCTCAAAGAAGAAAGTATGATAGTCGGGAAGAGAGAGAATGTGAAAATATTAAAGTAGGATAGTTTCTAGGAAGAAAAAATTGGTAAAATATTGTAAAATGTTTCCAAATAAGGAAATTGAGTACATAATTAAATACGACGCAAAAAAAAAAGTGAAGCAAGTAATAAAATACGGAAGGAGTAATGATTAGTCTTTATGTTTTTAAATTATTGATACGCTCAAATTGTTTTGATATAGTATATTCCTTATTGAACAATAATAAGATGAAAGTCTTCAAATGACAATTTGTGCATGTAATTTGTGAGAGATGATATAGATTTCTAGCTATACTACACATTTAAACCCCATCTTTGATAAAAAAAATTTATACAAGTGAACTTTATATTGGATTTCATTGCCAACACGAATTAATAAATTGTTGTATATGTGTTACTTTGCAATTAGGCAATTACTGTGAATAGCACAAAGTAAAACCAACCTCAACAGAAACAGAAATATTGAATGAGGTTATGAGGGTCCCTTTACGAGTTTCCAACACAGTTTTACATCACTTTGGGCAGTCCAAAGTTACTTTCAAATTGCGTCTAAATTTTACAAAAATAATAAACAATGCAAAGACATTATAGTTCTCCAGAGTTCATGTTTCGAGATATTCTATGAATGTTTCTTACCAAACTAACCAACCATATGGTCTAATTTACACGTTCATTAACTCATGATCCCGATTTTGCTGAAAAATAGTTCTTGTTTGAAACTTCTCAGGCAATTAGGTATACTTGCTTACTGATCCATTTAATTGGCCTGGAGTCCTGGACTAATCATTCAATTGTATCTATCAAGGTAAATTTGATTGAGTTTACTATTGTTCAATAGAAAATGCATAATGGAAATTCAAACTTAATATTGATTGTATACTTGTATAATATAAAAATTCCTACAAGACATTAAATCAACCCTTATATACAGAGGATATTGTCACCCCATACAACTCTATAAATAAAATACAATCTTGTTTAAATTTAGTATCAAAAAAGTTCATCTAACATCCAATCGATTATATCGTATTACCCTTCTTATATACTCCGTCATAAAACCAATTAGCAATGATGATCCAAAATCAAAATCAGTATGGTAATGTTAAATCAAACAATTTCCAATCATAATCACAAAAAAATATGAGATGCGACTGATAGAGTAGCTAAAAAAGAAGGACCACAATCATAGATATAAAAAGCCCGCCTAAGATTACCCAACTACCCCATAAAAAGAAACCAAAACACTGGCATCTTCTCTTCCACTGTTAATCAAACACACCACTTCCACTTTCAGACCATCTTCCCCTTTTGCTTTTTTCTCTTCCTCTTCTTCTTTCTGTGGCTTAAACATTTTCACCTCTATTTTCTCTCTCCTCTTTCTCTTTCTCTGTCTACCTTAACACTACATTACCCATGTTTCTGTGTAATTTAGCTGTAATTGGGCAAATCCCTCTTTTTTTACTCCTCTTTTCTTCTTATTTCTTTACTCTTTCTTCAGCTTGTTCTGGGGGCGGCAATTGTCAGGTAATCTCTTCTAATTTTGTGAATTTGTGGGATTTTTCTTTAGATTTTACCCAAGATCTGAGTATATTTTTGGTTTGATTGTATGAATTTGTTGCTAAAATTTCGATGAAAATTTTAAATTTGCAGGTTTTAGAGTCATGTTCAGCTGCTAATGATTGTGCGCCTGGTTTGTACTGTGGTAATTGCCCTGCTGCTAATAAGCGCCAACCCGTTTGTACTAGAGGTCAAGCTAACATTCCCACTTCTATTGTAAGTTTATTCTTTTAATTTTAATTTTTTTTACTAGAATTTGTGCAAATTTAAGATTATTATGTTAGATTTTTTGCCATGTTTGGATGATAAATTGATGGGTTTTTATAGTTTCTTGAGTAAAAGCATTACTTTTAATAAATACCCTATAATTAGTTGATTTTTTTGTATGCTTATTGTCTAAATTTTTTGTCTAATTATTGATGGGTTTTGGATTTTTGTTGTGGAATTTAGGTTAGTGGATTGCCCTTTAACAAGTATTCATGGCTAATGACTCATAATGCATTCTCAAATGTAAATGCCCCACCATTGTCGGGTGTACAAAGGATTACATTTTACAATCAAGAAGATACTGTGACAAATCAACTAAGGGTATGGAAAGTTTTTCTCCCCAATTGTTTTAAAACTTTACTTAGGTTTCGTGTTTACGAGGACGAGTTGTGTTAATGGTTACCTTGTTGGTTGTTGTTTAGAATGGAGTGAGAGGATTGATGCTGGACATGTATGACTTTGAAGGTGATATTTGGCTGTGCCATTCGTTTCAAGGGCGCTGTTATAACATCACTGCTTTTGTAATATTTTCTTTCCCTCCTCATTGATTATTCGATTTTACCTATGATGATTGAATTTAATCCTGAAGCTTGGCATGACATGTTAAGTAATGATGACTTAGGGACCTGCAATTGACACTCTGAGAGAAATTGAAGCATTTTTGACCGAGAATCCATCAGAGATTGTGACCATTATAATAGAGGATTATGTTCAATCTCCGAAAGGGTTAACTCAGCTATTTGCAAATGCTGGGTTGGAAAAGTATTGGTATCCTGTAACCGAGATGCCAAAGAAAGGGGAAGATTGGCCAACAGTGAATGATATGGTTCAAAAAAATCATCGGCTTTTGGTCTTCACCTCTGATGATTCGAAAGAGGAAGCAGAAGGGATTGCTTATCAGTGGAGATACATGGTTGAAAATGAACGTAAGTATCTTATGACTGCATTTTTGTATAAATTCAATGGGTGAAAGTTACACACTTGTCTGCTATGATGTTTTTCCAGCTGGAGATCCTGGAGTGAAACAAGGTTCATGTCCAAATAGAAGGGAATCGAAAAAACTTAACTCTAAAGGCGCGTCACTTTTCTTAATGAATTACTTTCCAACATATCCTGTTGAGGATGTTGCTTGCAAAGAAAATTCTGCTCCTTTGGCTAATATGATTGGTACCTGTGATAAGGCAGCAGGAAATAGGATGCCAAACTTTGTGGCAGTTAATTTTTATATGGTACTGATAATGCAATTTCACCTTTAGAGCTCTAATTATTGTATTACTAGTCAACCATATTCTAATTTTTAAGAATTATATATCATTTCAGAGAAGCGATGGACCAGGAGTCTTTGACATATTGGACAAAATGAATGGACAATCATTGTGTGGCTGCAGCACTATAACAGCTTGCCAGGTTTGTTCATTCTTTGCTTCTCCTTCACCATACCAGGAACCCATGCTTCATTTTTTTTTTTTTTTTTTTTTTTTTTTTTTTTTTTTTTTTTTTTTTTTTGCTTCATGCTTAACAATCAGCTAAGGAGGGTCTTTATCTATGTGCTTCTTGCTTGAAAATCAGTTCAGGAGGGTCTTTATCTCCATTAGTGCATGACTTTGATGGTATCTCAAAGTTTACGTCATATAATTTTCAATTTTTCATCAATTGATATATTATATTTCATCTGAAATACTTGCTATACCCTCTACCTAAAATTGTTCGCGTAAGTTGTCAGAATGTGCCTATTACGAAATTAATTAAAGCAATTCACTCTTGCACTTATTTCTAGGGGCTTTTAGAAGAAGAATTAAACATTCATGGCATAGATGTTGACCATAAAATGATCACAGGTCTCTCCAGCCTGAATAATCTCATATACACCATATCAACCATGGACCGTTACCACCCACAAACAATTGGAGCACAGTAGGTCTGTAGGATTGCAGAATGTAGCCTGGCAGTGAGATAGGCTTGTTTGTCACTCTCCTCTTGCCAGAAGGCATTTCATCTTAATGGACTTGGGATATTTTTAGAGGGATTAAAGTTCATACTACACCCAAAAATTACAGATTTTGGGCATCAAAGAATTTCATGGATGTTTGGTTTTTTGGTCACAGGGATTTAGCAGCAAGCAAGCTGTTGATGAACCATTTCCTAAGCCCTTTCTTCTTTCCTTGGTTTGTGGCGGAGACTAAAATTTCACAAGTCCTACTTTATAAAGCGAGGGGAGAAAAGGACCCGGGGGGGGGGGGGGTGGAGGGTTTGCTGTTAACACTATGAAATTTACTAAGGCAAATGTCTAATTAAAGGACCAACTGACTCTTTCGGAACAAATTATTATTGATCTCTAGGCTTTAAGACAATTGGTTCTGCTGCCGCGTATGGTGCTGGTAGGCCATCATATGATTGCATTTGTAAAATTTGCATTTATGTGCTACTCTTAATTTTGGAACCTATGTGCTGGATCTTTCCTCCACATACTGAACAGATTCTTCTCTTCAATTTGCAGCCAGGATCTCCTCCGGGGGTTTGTAAAAATATACCAGCACCTATTTTAGCTCCTCCCACCTCAACCTTCAGCGGAAGCTTTTCGGGATCTGTACAGTTATCAGGATTTGCTCCAGCTGCCTCTTATCCAAATATCTTACTAATTTGTTCATTCCATTTATCATTGATGTTACTTTTAATGTGGTTATAATGTATATGACATGAGTGCCAAAGAGCATTGTTGAAGTTGTATGCTTCATTAGAATAGGTTTTTGTAGTATTAGAAGTAAATTTTGGAGCCATTGTAGTTTCTATTATTAGTGGAAGTCCGTGGACAGCTTAGATCTTGTAAAATGTATCAGATGGATAAGAATGAGTATATTAACCTCTTGAGATAGATTTCAGCCAGGGGACTATGCAGGGCATCAACGACAATATATTAGGGAAACAGGTATGCCACAAGCTGCTTCCTGTTTGTTCTTAACATTATTTTGCAAAAACTTGTATTCAAACAAGTGTCTTTGAATGCAAGTCATATAAATTTAACTTTGCATAGGGTGTAATTTTTATGTGAATTGGGGTACCATCTATGAAATATTGAAACTTGGGTGACTACACTCAATGCATACAAACCCTTTTTTTTTTTTTTTTAGCTTGCAAGAATTCTATTCTCTCCCCTAATCCGATCCTGACTACAGGATATAGTTCCAACTCTTACAAGCTTTGAATACTACTTAGGTAGCACCGTAGCAATATGTTACATGATATCTCCTCCCTAATTTTCCACTTTCTTTCTATTGCAGGTTTATGTGGAATGGCTGAGGAAAGGCAGAAGATTGTGATAACTGTAGGGTGAATGGAAAGTCTATTGGAAGATATAAGCACAACTATTATTCGCATATATCAGCTGCTTAAGTCTGTATCTAGTGAAAGCTTCAGCTCTCTTAGCTTGTTGTTTGTCTTACTTTAATGACAAGTATGAAAATAGGTTCTTCCATATTAGCTGCAGAGCCCTCATATATTCTGTTCCTAACCGCCCCCCCCAAGATAAGAAAGGAAAAAGAAAATTCTTCGAATTATACCTTTAAATCTCTATCATAAAGGCTGAGAAAGAAAAAGAATAAAAGAAATGTCTGTTTATTACTGATAACAGAATATTTACTGAGAGATTCAGAACAGATGATACACTGCCATTATTCAGCAGATTTAAAAAGAACACAATTTGTAGGGAACGATCTGTACAAAGAATTTGCTTTTTTTTTTTTTTTACTGTTCAGCCATTGCAGTAAAGCCGTATTACAAACCCAGAAAATGAGTGAAATTGCCAACTTAACTGGATAGATCAAACAGGAATAGCTTCAGCATTTGGAAGAAGCCCTACAGGTTTTATCTGTAGAGCAGGGCTGATAGTGAGCAGGCCAATGAAGCAGTCAAGGGGAACCCTTGTACCCCAAACATTGATCGATTGCAGCTTCCTGCATTTGTTTACGAGGTACAGAAGTCCAATCTCAGTCACATGGCGGCAGCTCCACAACACTATAGTCTGCACGATGAACAAATGCATATTTAGCAGAGCAACATACTACCAGATAAATATCCCTACTTAACTACTTTAGTACTAGTATACAACAAAACTTCGACTGCAGAATAATCCAGTTTATACAACAAACAACCTTCAAATGCAGACAATTGTTTCCAATGGCAAATAGAGATTCATCAGTGATGAATGTTCCACCGATGTTGAGGTGCTGCAAGGAAGTAGCTCTTGAGACCTGTGACCAAATTCATTTTTTAGGAAATTGTTCAAGCAAACTAATTGTGTTGCAGTTCAGAGCCTTCTTTCAGTATTCATTGAGTTTAGCTTGATATAAACTAAATTTTAGATTAAGCTTACTCAAGAGAGGATCATGCATTATTAACAAGAAATCCTTGATTAAAAGTGATAATAATAGGAAGGAAAACCGATGTGATTCATACCAATTGTACAACACCCTTGTCTGTGATTCCTGTCATACCCCAAATTGAAATGGATGTCAAATTTCCAATACACTTTGCCATTGATATCTCAAACAGTCCATAGTCTGTTATTTGACAACCCCATCTACTCCTTGAACTGCAAGGAAAATCAACAGTCGCAAAGCACATCAAATACAATGCCACATTAGATAACCGTATTAGCATATCACACATCAAATACTATACCACATTTTTCAGGGGCTGGGGCTACGATACACATTAGATAACCGTATTAGCATATCACAGTTATAAACTCGGAAATTCACTACTCACGCCAATACTCAATATAGCTTAGTGTGTCTGTCTTAGAATAAAATAATCAGATTTATTTTTTTACTCCATCCAATCATATGAGTTTAGAGTAAAACCAACCACACAAAAACATACAAGTATATTAAAAATAAAAAAATAAACCATCTATTTGAAAGATTCAATTATTGTCCAAAGCAAAGGATTAGATTAATAAAATAACACGAATGAAGTAAGCATGAAACAATAAAGAAATGGTAGAAAAATTAATCATACATGTCAAGTTCCTTAAGAGAGAAGGCAAGATGAACAAGGCGAGAAGTAGAGGCATCATCCATTTTACATCCAGAAAAGCTCAAACTTCGTCTCCTTCCCATTGATTGCTTCACCCCTTCCCTCCATTTCTTACACACACAACTTGCCCTTCATTTACATAATAAACATGTTAGAAAATAAAAAGTTAAAAAAAAACATTCAAAGGTCGTAGGTGGAAATTAATTCCTCTGCCGACAACAGCCAGGATTTAATTGTCACGTTACTAGTACAAGCTTAAATTGAAATTAAATAATCAACGTGACAATATAATAAAATTAAAATTACTTACTGAGCTAAATCAGTGAAAGAAGAGAAAAGGAGGAATATATGAGACAGAAGATCAGTTGGAAGCTTTTCAATTTCTGATTCTTCAATATCCATTTCACCCATTTCTGATATTCTCATCAATAATAATCAGCAGGAGAAGATTCTAGAGAAAATTAATTGAAAAAGAGAGAGAAAATGAATTATTGGATCATATAATTTTAATTTATGAATATGAATATTAGGAAATTAGGGAGTAATAAAGAACAAAACGCAAGTAAATTGTTGGATTAAAGGAGGAAATTAGGAAAAATGATGAAAATAAAAGTCGTATAATTAACAACTAGTCTAATTTCTGGAATAGGCGGGACAAGTAACGTCGATGACTTAAATTAATTAATTAGTGTAAAGATTAATTTTAAAGGATATTATATATAGAGGAAAGAGAGAGAAAGTGACATGAATGGATGTGGTCATTTGGACTTCATAGCCTCGTCATCTATAAGACATTCATGTGAATCTCTTCTCCGTCTTTCCTTTTTTTTATTTTATTTTTAACTCTTTTCCTTTTCTAATTTTAGAAAAAAAAATCTTGAAACATAAAATAAGGTGGCCCTTTCCTAAAAAAAAAAAAAGAAGTTGGCCCTCTTAGGGGGCGTTTAGTTCACAGAGTGATATGGGTTTGGAATTGGAAATGAGGTTAAGGTGGTATCGGGTTAGAACTTAATACCATGTGCTTGATTCAATTCTGGAATGGAATCTCTCACTATTCCCTCCTTTTATTTGCTACCTAAGGGAATAGAATGGCCAAACCAACCTCCCCTCAAGGTTTCCAAAGCCCATACCTCATGGTTTTAAGTTATGGGTTTAAAATTCATACTTTTGCAACCAAACATATGGTATGGATTTTAGTCATTCTAAACTCATACCTCATGTTTCGGGGTTTTCTGATGTCCTGCGGGAGAGTTACAATTCCGAGACTGGAACCGGACGCCTGTACCTGCAAAATAACGGAGACTCCTGAGAGCTCCGCCTCCAACGGTCAAGTTAGTACCTGATTAAGGAGTAATAAGTGCGGAAAATAAAGTAATAAGGTCTCTCTAGGTGAGAGTGTTAATGTTGGTAATCTGCTTTGTTAGCGAGATTAGCCGGTTATTAGTGTCTTCCGTAACGTTTTTGTTCTGTTCCGTTCTTCAGGTGAGATTAATTGCTTGATCCCCTTTAATGAGGATTGATTAAGTATTTATAGTCTTGAGAAGCGTGCCACTCTCTAGGTTTAGGGTAAACCTAGGGCTGACCGGGCCTCTAAACAGGATTGGGCCTTGTTGGCCGGTTTTCCCATTTGGCATGGGTGGACACGTGGCGTGTCTCAATTGGTCCGTAGAGGACGTATCTGTGATTGACACGTGGCAGGCTCCTATTGGCCTACGTGAAGGACACGTGGCGGAACCTGGTTGGTCCACTTGTCAAACGGTGATTGGAGGATAAAAATCCCCTAATCACCTCATACCTACATTCCGCGAACCAAACACCCCTTTCAATTATTTTATGGAGTATTTTAAAAAGAAGAGGAATTGTATCTTTGTATGTGAACATGTGATACATAATACGGAGTACTACGTACAGTATACCAAACTAAACTTGGTTTAGTGGAAAGGAGAGCACCTTTCAACCTCAGGGTGAGTTTATCCCCAAACTCGAACCCAGACTTTAAACTCTGCCACATCAGCTTTCACTAACTTGAAAATACTTTTTATTATTTAGATTCATACAAGACTTTCTCCAAATTTACATATTATCCTAAGACTCACTCAAAACTCATTTAATCCTCTTCAAAATATATTTATTTTTTTGTAAAATATCTTTAATTATTTTTTAAAAATTATTGTAAACTTTTGGTTGGTGAGGTGACCAATTTTCATTGACAAACAACCAAAATATGGCAGCATTTGTTTCCTTACAAAGTCTTGACACGGGTTTGGATTTTCCAAACTCCATGCAAGACTCACATGAGTCTTGAGTCCTGAGTGAGTTTATTGCAAGAATCTTGAGAAAAAACTCATGTTGAGACTTTGCTCAAGACTTGCAATAAACTTACCCTCATGGTTGGAGGTTCAATCCCCACTAGTGACAATTTGGGGGATGGGATTCCCTTACCTTTCCCCCACTCTCCCAAATTGTCTAGCCCGCTAACCCCACTATTGACACTTTAGGGTGGGATTTCATTCCCTAATTAAGCTTGGTCTAGTGGCAAAGTTTGTATCTCACCTCACAACCTCTGGTTGTGGGATCAAACCCCACTATTGACACTTGAGATTCTATTACCCTTCCCCCCACTTTTAAAGTGCCTAGCCCGTTAACCCGGTAGGGCCATTCTCCTTATCAACCCTAAAAATAAATATAATAAGTACGAGTACTACGTACAATTCCTTTTTTTTTTCTTTTTTTTTTATTTTTTAAAGTTAAAGGAGAATTTCCTTACAAATAGGGAGGAATTTAGAGATTCCACTTATTTGGAGTGAGAATCGAACCCCTCTCACAAGGGTGAAAGGAGGGCCTCCGACCACTAGCCCAACCATTGATTCTTATATTACTCCATTATGTTGGTGTGGTGAGTTTGACGACATGTAATGAGTTTTATACTGTAGTACTAGGATATTGAATAATGAGTTTTACTCCCCTCGTATTAGATAATAAGTCACGTTTCCAAAAAAAAAAAGATAATTAGTCTCACTTTTGGACAATGAATCTCATATCTTAGATGCTAAATTTTAAATTGTAGGTAGTAAATATCTTACTTAGATAATTGGATACTAACATCGAGATTTATAATTCTTTTTTTTTTTTTTACCTTTTTTTGACAATGAGTCTCGAACATTAGACAATGAGTTGAGTTTCATATTTTAGGTGACGACTCAGACGTATATAGGACACTGTTGTCTAGTTCTCAAATTTTGGACAACCAAACTCAATAAAATGGACACATGAGTAGTTCACAGACAGTTGGAATGGATCTCAATTGGCCAATCTCACACCTCTATCAAATCCAGCTGATTAGTGGCCCACATAAGCACTGAGTCCAAAATCCCTTAGGTTTGGGCCCAATTCTTCTATTCTTCAAGAATTCAGCTTTTTGTCAAATGGAAGGGTTCTTTTTTTTAGTTGTTAAAATTTTTGTCCCATTTGTAATCACAATGTATAATGTAAATTTCAATTGACTCGTGAGGGGTTCTAATCAATAGAACGTTACTACTTACCTCTACAACAAAAAATTGTGTTTATCTAATTACTCCTAAAGTATACTTCATATTTGTCATAATGATAGAATGAATAGAAATTCAAAAAAACAATGAATCTTAATCACACAACTTCACCTCTTCTTGTTATAATTCATGTAAAAATAATTTTAAAAAGTAAGAAATTTGCAACCTTAGTAATAAATTATTTTCATGTAATCAATATTGATAACCTTACATAATAAAATTTCAACAACTAACAATTTCTTGAATGGTTAGAAACATTAAAAATACTTAATACAGTGCATGTGTACAACACCTAGATTGTACAACGAAACAAATAAATAATGAATCTTAAACATCTTTCTTCTAGCCTTTAGCTTGATAATGAATTCTAACAGTTGATCTTGAAAATAGAAATTGTGTAAATAACTTAGTAAAGAAAGAAATATCAATTTGCAAATTTCAAATAAGGAATTGATCAGCTAATACGGCGGCACAAGGTAATTCCATCACCAACAGGGAGCTGGCAAATCTCAATCCTAGGATCAACAGCTAAAGCTTTGTTGAGTTCCAACACAAAGTCTTTATAAAACTTAACATACTTCCTAAGTGGAGCATCTGGTGGGGCCACCACTGACCCATTCCATAGAGTGTTATCGTATCCAATCAAACCACCAACTTTGACTAATTCAATTAGTCTCTTGTGGTAATTAAGATAATTGTCTTTGTCTGCATCTACGAATATGAAATCATATGTTCCATGATTTTTCTCCTGCATAAATTAACATGAATTAGTCATCGCTTATATTTGGTACATAAACCTAATGTGGTTGAGTATCCTTCTAGAGTACTTTACTTCCATGATACTTGGTGACAATATATAGCTAAGATGGTAAGATCGAATATAATTTAATTTTACTTCACATATTTCAAAACTCGATTACAATCACAAAAGGATCTAATAAATAATAATAAATGCAAATATACAATAAAGTTTTGGCCATTTATAATAATTAATCGATAAGACAAAATAGAATAGCTATTGTTATAAATATACGAATTGGGCAATTTATAATTTAATGAGATACTTACGTCTTGGACCATTTGATCAAGAACTGGTAAAGCAGGGCCCTCCTTGAATTCAATTTTGTGAGCAACTCCAGCCTTTTCAATCACTGGAAGTCCTATTTCATAATTTTCTTTGTTGATGTCCATGGCCAATATCTATATTTGTTAATAACAAATACACATAATTGTTAAAAATATTAATCACTAATTAAGGGTATCTTAAAGGAGGGAGCCTCAGTTCCTCATTATGAGAAATACTTATACTCATAATGACATTTTGGAAAATAATGTGATGCTTTTTACTGGTGGGGACCGCGTATATGTCATGAGTGGGAGCCCCAAATCTTAACACATACCCCATGAGAAACAAAACCACAATGAGAAACAGAGAATTGCCCATCTTAAAGAGAGACCAAAAATGATTAAATTAGCTCATGTATGGTTTCACTACCTTTCCATCCTCCGGTAGGGCAAGCGCGGTAGCGAGGAGGGAGTAGCCGGTAAAAACACCGATTTCCATGGTGTTCTTGGCATTGATGAGCTTGATTAGCATGTTCAAGAATTGCCCTTCATCGGCTGATGTTGTCATCAAGTTCCTATTTTTTTGGACAATGAATATGAAATAATTAGGTAATTATATGGCATGCTAAACCTATTGGTGCCATATAAAATTCATTCGGAAATTTTCATTTAGTATGTCCTTTTTTAATAGGCCACATTTTAAAATTTGGTACTGTAAGCTATAGTTAAAACTTTTTATGGGGAGATTCATAGATATAGCTATCGTACCATGGGTGCTTTGCTGTAATTTCCCTAAGCTCTTTCATGCACGCAGGCTCCTTAGGATACACACTAGTCTCAAGTATATACTGCAAAAAAAAACATTTATCCAAACACTTGTAGTGTTAGTCTCTAATCGATCATTCTTCATCCTGTTAATAACATAATAAAAATGATAACACCACGTCTACAATGTTACTGTGAATTAAGCGCGCTATAAAGTTTGCACCTGATAAAGTGCATCGCTTTGAAGGAGACTCTTATGCCCAACTTCTTGATGTCTGAAAGTATCATTTCCATTTTGATGCTTCACTTCGGAACCATTAGTTGCCATTTTTATGTTTTTAAAAGAATATAAAACTTGTTACTTCATAAAAAACTTGCAACTTTGAATGTGGAAAAGAATTACTTGGCTTCTTAGTATATATAGTGATTGATAATTGGGTTGTGGTAGTTGGTCTGATAATAATGAGAGAGGGCGCCTGGCCCAAAAGGAAGTGTGAGGTTGGTGACGAGTTGGTGTTTTGGAGGACTTTTTTGGTAGGAAAATGGGTTATGACGTATTATTATAAAGGTAAACTACAAAGTTAGTAAAACTTGTTTACAAGGACACCACATGATTGATTTACTTTAAGGTAGAGCAATAATAAATTAGAGGATTTAGAACTATACAGGTAATGTGAGAAAAATGGGAAGTAAAGTAACCAAGCTTTGTCAATAAGCAATCAATCAATTTGTGTTTGTATTAATATGGTAGGGAAAAAAGAAATGAAGATTAGGAGACCCTGCGTACGAGAAAACCACTTAATGAATGGTCAAATTATAGTAATAAGAAGAGAAATTGAGCCTAGGTTAATGAAGGTGAGACGTTGGAGAAGAGAACCCTTGGAAGAAAGAAGGACATTTAACTCATGAAATCAATTCAAAATTTAGGTGTTGGATATTAATTATTGTAGAATTTTTTACTTCAATATGTTTTATTAGAATTGGATATTAAATGTAGTTAAAACGTTATGCATCTCAATATCTCAGTCAATTAAAGAGTTTAAGAAAGACATAATGATCATCAAACTCGACCTTATCTAGAATATTGAAATTGGGGTACATATTAGTAATCAAGAAATAATGACTCAAATTTGCTTGCTTAAAGTTAGTAATTGATATCATATCCAATTGAATTGTCAACTTTGTCTACCTGAAAGAGTCGGGACATTTACTTTGGAGAGGAAGTTAGGACCAACAATTAGCTCTAGTCTTGTCCTTCATGGTGGTGATTGCACCAGAATGACTAATTGACTGTTGAAAGATACTTTTAACTCCTTAACATAAACACTTCTCTAATAATACACGCATTTTTCACATATGACTAACCAATTCTTTAATGTGATTGGTTACTTAAAGTGTCCTATTTTTTAAGCCGACATATAAAAAGCTAAGTAATATGATAAATCATCATTGCATTTCTACTTGTATTATTGATGATATTAATATTTCTCCTCTAAAAATAAAAGTTACAAACACACAAATCTATTTTGTACCTATGTAGACACTAGACATTACACTTATTTGAACGTGCACATGACAATTTGTAGATCGGTGTGTATACAACGCGCATCTCTAGTTCTACACAAGCCACCCTACCTATGTGTCACATACATACATACATACATACATACTCACTCAATCACTCTATATCTCTATCCCTTTAGCCTAGTTTGCATTTTAAGTCGTTCCTAATTGTAAATATTTAAATTTACTTTCATACATCAGAGTAATATCTATGGACTATGGTTAAGGTTGTGTTTGGTAAATAACTTATTTGAGCAAAATTAGCTTATTTGACCAACATTATCTTATTGACTATTAAATAAGCTAACATAAAGTGTTTGGTGGAAAGCTTATTTAAAGAACTTATTCTACTAAATAAGCTTTTTTTCAAAAAATTCCTTTTAGGAGCTTTTTTAATCAGCTTATTCAATTATTATGGTAAAATGACACTTATACCCCCATTTAATTTAAAATTTTATATGAACTACCTACCCCCACAATTAGTTTATTGGTAATTTCACATAATCAATCAGCTTTAAGCAATTAGCTAATACCAAATACTTTTATACAATCAGTTAATAAAATAAGTTAATTAAATCTATTAATACAAACAGCTAGTCAAAATCAGCTAAAATAATTAGCTTCATCTTTCATCTTTTCACCAAACATGGCTACATCTATTCAAAAAAAAAAAAGAAAAAAAAAAGAACTATGGAAACGTTAGTTTTATCTTTCATCGGAAGTAGGGCAAACAATTGGAGCCGGAGTCTGGATTGAGGAGTTGGTGAGCCCGCCCATATACATGGATGTTTCGATAGGGTCCACTTAGACCACACAAACCAAGTAACCAACTACTCCAAAAAAAATCATATTTGGCGCCAACTTGCTTATCTTACTTGTGGTTGTGGGTGTGGACCAGTTTAGGACTATTTCTTCACCACATTAGTGCACACAGTGTGAAGTGGGCCCATCAATGGGAAAGTTGGTAAGTGAAAACTCCATCTTTCTTTGAATTGGGCCTATCTTCGACTTCACTAATTTGAAATGGTCCAATAACGCTATTGGGCTTCAAACGTGGTTTTATACAAACTTTAACTTCAAGTCTTCAACTGCTCTGGAGGGTGGACAAAAATTTGAACACTTTGGCTCATAATTCGACTTTAACTTTAATTTTGACTTTTACCATTATATATTTCGTACCTATGGGTCAAAACACTTAGTCACCAAACAAGTTTGACTTTACCAAGCAAGGATAGTGATTAGGGGATTTTTCCCCACCAATCACCATCAGACAAGTGGACCAATCAGGTTCCGCCATGTGTCCGTCACATGGGCCAATAGGAGCCTGCCACGTGTCAAGCAATGATCCGTCCACTATGGACCAATTACGACACGTGTCCTTCCCATGACACCTGGGATAACCGGTCACCTAGGCCCAACTTCCGAGGGAAGCCCAATCAGCCCAAGGTTAACCTAAACCTAGATTGGCACGTTTCCCGAGGTTATAAATACCTCCCTTAATCCTCATTAAGGGGGGGACGCAAAAAAAACGCAGATTACACACATTAAACTCTCTCACCTAGAGAGACCCGATCACTTTAATTTCCGCATTAATTACTCCTTAATCAAGTACTAACTTGACCGTCGGAGGCGGATCTCCAATCATCCGGAGCATCCGTTTTTTTTGCAGGTACAGGCGTCCGGTTCCAGTCTCGGAATTGTAACTCTCCCGCAGGACATCAGAAAACCCCGAAACATTTTGGCGCCGTCTGTGGGGAGAGTACTTCTGAGATGGCATCCACGTTTGTACCGGCTCCTGAAGAGAGACGTCCCCTGGACGACCCTCTAGTTCAGTCGGACCACGATACTGAGAATGAATTTGAAGTTGAAGCTCACACAGCTTCAGACGGGACCCTAAGGGCCCGACGTACCCGTCATAACCGAAAGGAGGGAACGGGAACATCTTCAAACTGGAAGCGAGCCAGCAGGCGCACCGCCTGTTCGGCAGCAGCCGACTGATGGGTCTGCTCCCATCACAAGGAACGAACTCATGACCTTCATGAGGGACTTCAAGGGAGAAATTCAAGAGTTGATCAACAAGAAGCCGCCTGCTCTGGACAAGGAGCAGTCGGCTAAGAAACCCTCCACTTCACGGAAGAGGAAGCCAGTTCAAGGGCGAGAGGCGACCCCTCATCCTAAATCTAGGAAGTGGGAGCCACCTGTCCTTGATTTCACAAAATACCGTTTTCCTACTCCAGGAAATAGGAAACCTGTTCGTCATATTCAGGCGGACGGGTCGAGGAAAACATACACAGACGCTCGGCTACTGCTAGAACAGAAGAAGAGTGACCGATTGTCAGAGTCGGCCTCTACTTCAAACTTCCAAGACAGTCTGCGAAATACCTCGATGAGGCATACTCAGTCGTATCATGAGAGTCAGTCAGGCGGCACCTCCCGTCAGTCTGGCTTTCACAGGCGGCCAAAAAGTACTCGTCGTAGAGCCATTTGAAGATCAAGACGCAGTGCAGGGGTACTTGCTCTCGTACCCCTGAAGTAGAGTTCACCTTCGACTCTACTTTGAAGAGTCCTTTATCTAGGATCTCTTTCTTAGCCTTGGGGGGAACAGGCGGCATGATGCGGCCGCCTGCAAGAAGGGGCGGATTCCTGTTCCACCTGTTGAAGCGCTTGTTCAGCTCTGTGTCTGAACTCAATGATAAGGAAGGTGCTCCGCCAGTCCTTCCATTTGTTTGCTTTACCTCTCGTCATGAGGTAGCCCCTGTGGCTCGTCAATTGATATCAGCCGGTACCGCCTGCCTTAGGGGTCCGGCTGAGGTAGTTCATGTGGGCGAAAGCTTCGAAGTTCGGCTCCACCCCGTGCAGTTCGCACCCGGCCACATAGCCGAGTAAGTTGACCCAGGAGTTCGAGGCTAACTGTCATAACCCCAACTCATACCCATCCAAGATCCGCTGAACAGCCGAATGTAGTGGGAAGCGCAGCCCAGCCTTGATAGCCGCCTCGTAGCAGCCAAAGCAGGCGCCATCATAACTGGTACCAGCCGGCCAGACGACTGTGTCTTCTGGATCCGACACGAACACTAAAAAGTCGGGGCCCATTGTGTGGTTTGCGATAAAGCTCTCCACTTTCTCTTGCATGGCTGTGATCCGGCCCCGAGGTACCGTGCAGTAGTAGGGGGTATTTTGCTCTCGGTGAGAGGCGGATGGCTCCGCCCAATCGCCCCCCTTCTCAACTGCGTGAGAAAGCCTCGCCTCTTGTAGGCGACTGTTTTTCTCTTCTGTGTCCAGAGAAGCATGGCCAGAAGAGCTAGACTCGGAATCGTCCTCTGACGAGTCCGAAGAGGACGACTCCTCCCCTCTCCCGGAGGGGCCCGCCTCCTCTCCTTTAAAAGGAGCAGGAGAGAATGTAGAATTGTCAACTGTAAAATGGGAAGGGGTCACTTTGACTCCTCCCTCAGAACTGCCGGCTTTCAAGCCGCTTTGTTTCACTTCCACATCTGGCGCCTGGTCAGATGTTTCACTAATCGGCACCCTGTGGGAGGAGCCGTCTGAGTTTGAGATCCTGGCAGTCTTTTTTGTTCTGGCCATCATGCTCTGCATAGACACAGATACAGTCGGACTTTGTATAAAGGGCAAAGATGGGTCCAGAAAAGGGCAGGCGGCACTCCTAGTCCTAGATTCAGCCGTCCCCGGTGACCGGCTGATCACTAACCTAGGTCGTGTCGTGTGCTTCCGTGGTGCCATTTCAAAAAAGAATAAAGTAAAGAGAAAATTAAGAGTAAGAGAACCGACAGTTACCTGAACGAGTGACGATTGATGAAGTTCTGAAAACCCTTTGCAGTCGGCTTGTCAGAGCAGGCGGTAGGCAGAAAGGGTCCAAAATGTCAGAGCAAGTTCAGGGGTCCGAATGTTCTCTCACAAAGTTTTCAAGTGTGAAAATGACCGAAGTCAACACTCCTTTATATAGGCGAAGTGAGAAGGC